CCCTGATCCCATTTAACCCCTTCCTAGGGAAATCCATGCATCCCTCTGTGGGCCCTCCTTGTTAACGAGCCTCTCCTGCGGCTGTGGACCGGCCCAAAGCAGTGAGTCATGAAATTAATCATGAACTAGAACCTCCAAAATTGTGAGCCTAAATTAATCTTTTCTTTCTATAAACTGTCTATCTTCATAATTCTGTTTCAGTGGTAGAAAGCTGAGGAACATGTGGCCAACAAAGAATCAGGATTTTCCTAGGAGTCTGAAAGCATTCTAATTTTTACAGTATGCACACACAAGCCAAATTCAGTGTGAACACACACACACACAAAACATATGGTGCTCAAAAGTAGTCGTACAGGTTTATAACCACACACTTCATGGCTGAAGTCGTCACAGGCTCTACTGCAGATTCTGAGGAGGCAAGAACGAATACAGAAGACAGAGTCTGCACCTGGTCATGACATAGGTGATGAAGGTGAAAAGATGGAGCCTCAACAAATCCACAAAGCATAGAGATACTCAAAAGAGCAGTTTCCCTTCTCCTGAATCATCAATTATAAACTTTATTCCCTTTTCATTTCATTTTCAGTCTTTTGTGAAAATACTGTTCCATAAACTAGTCTTTGACCACGAAGAGTTTGAGAAGCGCCGATCCGTGGTGCGCCAGAAACGAAGACACCGTGATGGACACTGTTCCGCTTGACCTCTCAGACATGCCCAGAGCAGCATCTGCCAACCATCCAATCCCACAAGCATATCACTCGATGATAAAGCTCACTTAGAAATGTCTGTACCACGGAGTCTCTAGACAGACTCAGAAGTTCCAATACACAGGAAAACAAATGACACACACACACACACACACACACACAACCTGCTTCAGAAGGATCAAAGTCAGACATAGTAGCATGTCTTCTATATTATATTCAGGCTTATATTCTAGCACTTGGGAGGCTACAATAGAAGAATCACCAGCTCAAGGTCAGCCTTTGCTATACAGAAAATTCCAGATCTGGGCTACACAGAGAGACCCTGACTCAAAAAAGAAAGTCAGATTCTAATTGTGAGGAAAATTTTCAACTATCTTAACTATATTCAACTACCTTATCTCATATTTTCCTTTTAGAAAATGTATGCACAAGTCAGGCATGGTAGCACATGCCTTTAATCTCAACATTCAGGAAGCAGAGGCAGGTGGATCTCTGTGAGTTCGAGAACACCTGATCTACAAAGATAATTCCAGGACTAATAGAGCTGTTACACAGAGACACCTTGCTTCAAAATCATCCCCCAAAATGTACAAAGTAATCTTACTTAAAAACTAAGAAAAGCCCCCAAATGGTAATAACCCTGCTATTGCAAAGCTTGATCATCCAGAGAGGGGCACAGACACAGCAGCAGAACTATGTGGTCAAGGCAAAGACAGGGACATACAGGCTGGCGCAAGAGCAGCAACTGTAGCCTGGATGGCAAGTAAGGCTGCTAACTGTGGTATCTCAGCCCACGGGTCCTCAAAGCTCCCATTCTACCCAGGCACAGCCAAGTCTTTGACGTCCGACTTCCTACATTCTCCTCTGTTGGTCTCGCTTCTCTGGCTAACGCCCATCAGATATCCCTTAACAAAGGCTCCCCTCACACATCCGACCTCCTTACTACTATCACTCCTACGCCGCATCCATAGGCACCAAGTCACTGCTTGAGAACCTGCATGCAAACTATGCACGCTCTACTTGTGGCTGCTTTATACATTCGCTCTTCAGGACTCACACAATGAACTGATTCCAAAAGCTGTTGACTACAGAGAACTAGGTAGGGGAACTTCAAACCGGGCCAAAGATCTTTAGGCATGGGTCACAGGAACAATCTTCCCAAAGCACTTCAAATTAATTTTAAGGGAAAATGACCTAATATTATTATTACAGCTGGGATTTTAAATGGCTTATGATACCCTGTTATATTTCCTTATCATACCTTATCATACCCTGTTATATTTCAAAATCCCATGTAGAAGGATCACCTCTGTTGATTTTACAGTCCTTCAAAGAAGTGTGACGGAATAGTAAAAACTGACAGTGGTGAGGTGTTATCCCTGAGATGTTACATCCTCTCGTGGGTCATTCATTTATAAAGGGAACAGGACTGGTCTAGCTCAGGAGCCAGCAATCCCTAGGGTGTAACAGCTAGACAGGAAACTAGTCTCCGTGGGCAATGCAGCCTCTGTGAAAACCACTCACCGTGGACGATCCAGACACGAGGGAGCACATGTGTCTAAGACATCCACGGTCACAGAAGCAGGCAGCAAGCGGGCTTTGGTCTACAGCCAACGGTTTGACCCTGGGTTGAAGTCAGTTTGCTTCGAGTTCTAAACTACTGCAGTGCAACAGAAAGCTGCTGCCTTGTATCCTTTGGAGAAATAAGTTAGCTATGTCTAACACAGGCATACAGAGTAATGGCTCATAGCAGAGACTAGGGCGTCAGACAGTCTGGTATTCTCAGGCTGTGAAGGACTGGGTGAATCACACAAACTACTCTGAACTTTGGCTTTCCTTTAAGGTGGTTGTGAAATTCAAATGAAGAAACATGATATAAAGCACTTGGCTCCGAATCTAGTACACAGTAGGCATCTAATAAATGAATGTTCTTACCTTGATAAGGTATTGACCCAGAAGTTTTTGTCGAGGAACATAACTCCCCAATGAATGGTTTTTTTTTTTTTTTTTTTTTACAGCAAAGAAGTAAAGTGTGCTTTATAATGACTGACATTAGGTTGGAAATGCTGAGAATTCTCATTAGCAAAGACCTAGATCACCAGTGTCCTTTCCTTACACACACACACACACACACACACAGTGTGTGTGCATGCATATACTTAAGATGACGTAAAAATTTTATATGTGTGCATCTCCATCCCACCCAAAGACGAACTGCTTTTAACTGTAGTGCAGAGGGGCTCAGAGACGGCGAGAGCCCATCACACAGGTGTAAAGCAGGGCACCGGGGAGTCAACACTGGTGAGCCCAAACCTCACCATCAGCCAAACACGGCCTCGGTCCTAGCTGTGTGTGTGTGTGTGTGTGGTGTCTTGAGTGAGCAGTAAAATAATCTTCTTTCCGCACGCGTTATTTTCCACCTTCTTAGAGTTCTAAAGTAGACTACCATAAAAATCACTGATCTTAAAAAGGCAGTATTCCCATCTATGTGTTTGTTTTTTTTTAAATGATTACCATTTGCTTTTTATTCAGTTAACACAAACTCTCACACATGAAGTAAATATGGAGCAGTGGCGTTATCTAGAACGCAGACTCTTCCCCCACAAACACCAGCAGCGTCCTCTCATGTGACTTTGTGCTGGGATGATTGTTACACAAAGCAGCTGTGGACAGCCACAGCTGTGCTCAATATTCCACAAATCCCCAAGTATTTAAGAGATTATAAACCTTTAACTTTGTAAAGACTCTGCATTTCAAACGAAATTTCTGCCCAGTGTCAAAGGGAAAGGATGTTGCTCAGCAGAGGGTTTGTCTAGCACCACGGATCCCCTCGTCCACTCCCTCCACAATGCTGAGGCACTGAGGGCGCTGCCAGGAGTGAGAAACAGGAGCTGGCTTCACACTGGAAAGCCTTCTGTAGCCCAGCAGTCTATCGCTGCACAGGGAAAATGGTGTGTTGACATGTAGGTGCTTCCAAATTCTATTATAAGAGTGAATTCAAACTTAGAAATAGACTCGATGTTGAACTCCTCAAGATTAATTTAAGGTGTAACAAATTAAAACCATAAATTACAATCTAGTAATAGATCTACGTAAGACAGTTAAAATTTTCTGTAAATTATACCTAATACATACCCCATTCCTTCTAAACAATACTGACTGCCAAAATAATCACCAGTTAGGATTTAACTTTACTTTTCTATATACAAAAATATATAATTACATGTATAAATATCTACTTTGAAAGGTAAAATAATTTTTCTTATCATTTGGTATTCTACTGGGAATAGGACTGTCTAAATTTCAGAATAAATCAGGTTATCATTTAGCATTTAAAATAATATTCAAACATGATGGGCTGTAACAGTACTGAATCGCCAACTCTAATGCCCGTCCAAGCTGACAGTGTCTACTAGTGATAACAGTCAATCACTGGCCTTGCCTCCTGAAGAAGGAAGGCTGTGCTAGAAACATCATCTTCCACTTTTGGAGCAAAAGTGAGGGCTCCGTCCTACCACCCCCTCCCATTTCAAAAAATCTGCAATTTTTCTAGAAAACTTGGAGACAGTTGAAGCCAATGGTTCTTGGAATTGTGTGTGTGTGTGTGTGTGTGTGTGTGTGTGTGTAGCTTGGCAGTAGAACCCTTGCCTATGATTCGAAAAGCCTCAAATTCAACATTCAATGTCCTCCCCCAGTCCCGTCTGAAGTGTGGTTGTGAATACCTGCAACCCCAGGGACTTGGGAAACTGAGACAGAAGGACATGAAGTTCAGAGTCAGTCCAAGCTACATGGCAAAATGTTGTCTTAAAAAATAAACAAAGAAAATAAGCAAAGAAAGAAGAAAAGGAAAGAAAGAAAAGAATGGTTGAGTTCGGGAAAAGGGCCCTGAACCCCTTTGAGCATCTGTTAAATCTGGTCTACGGTCCAGGAAACACAAAAACACACGGAATTCTTACGCTCCTGAAAGACTATTTGAAGGCATGCCACAGATTCTGACTAAGAATCACAGAGACAGGAATAAAGTTTCCAAGATGTCTCCAATCCTTCGTAATTCTACCTGATTTACAGGAACCAACAAAACAAATCATAAACAAATAACAAAGCAGAGAAGCAATCAAACAATAACACTCGTATAAGCAACCCTTCTAAGACGAAACAAAGGTGTTTCCAATACTCTGGTCACCAGAGAGCAAGCCATACTGGCAGCATTTTAAAACACAGCATGTGACTGGAGCTATGATTGAAGATTATGGAGTATAAAATGCCCCGCATATAAAACCCACTAATCCTTACGATTCCAGGAAGACTGCAGAGGCAGACAGTATTTTTATCCCTCTTCCACAGCGAAGGAAACGGAGGTTCAGATAACAACTTGCCAGGATGAAACAGCCAATGGGTAGAGAGAGAGCAGGGATTTTAACCCAGAACTAATTGCAGAAGTGAGCTCAGCCCACTATTATATCCTCCTCAGAACAGAAAACAGACCGACAGACCACACGGAAAATGTCGGCGGGGAAGCAGTAAACAATAATTAGTCTATTTAAAATAGACAACTGAGATTGATCTCCAGCACTGCAAAAAAATTTAAAAATTTTAAATACCAATTTCCTCTTGCTTCATTACTTAAAACTTTTTTCAGAAAAAGAAATGGCTAACACCAAAGACCCTACAGCTGAAAACCATGGCATTTTGTTGTTCTATGAAACATCTGTTCTTGCTCGTGTATTTAGTTCCTCATATACAAAAATAAACTCTTTGTTGAGGACTCAAATATAAGGAATGGAAAACGTATTTACTTTTGGTTTTCTGTTTAGATTTTGCTGCTGTTGTTTTGAGACTGGATCTCATATGGCCCAGGCTGGCTCAAACTCAGTGTTGCCGAGGATGACCTTGAACTGCTGGCTCTCCCAAGAGCTGCCGTAGGTGGAGGCTCACACCACCAAGCCCAGTTTGTGCAGACCATCAACTGAGTTACTGCCTCGACTCCTAACGCCGTCTGACCCTTAAGGAAAGGACGGATTTTTGAGTGAAAGAGGAATGTCTGTAGGTTCTGACCCTGCGTGTGATTAGACAGCAGGGAGGTTGAGCTTCTGTAGCGGCAGGAAAACGATACTCTCTGCTTAACTGTTCACTGTGATTTTAAGTTAGGATTTGGAATTATTACGGAAGACAGGACGTTACAAATCACTAACACTGGCGGCATCAAATGCTGAAATAGCAGCTTGAAGTGTAAAAATGCAGACTGGGACGTACTCAGTGGCAGTGAGCTTGCCAGCATGCACAAGGTCCAGAGGGCGCACGGGGTGGGGGTGAGGGGGCGACCCTAGAAGAATAACCAAGTGCATACAGCTCAATACAGCATCTTGTGATTTCTTTTCTATATCTGTGTCTCCACTGGTTGGTATTTTAAAGGCAACACGACTAAAGTTTTAAGTAGGTCAGTCAGTTTGACTGACGAAGGTGCCAGGAGGAAGCCGGCAGAAAAGCAACTACTAATGGCAAAGCTACCTGCATGCATTTACAGTCTCGGGCACCATCAGCAGAAGGTGTCTGCTTAACCAAGAGTATACCACCCGCCCCTTAGGCCGGCCAGGGCTCTCCGGACGTGTAGAAACAGGAGTGAAAACAATTAACTTATGTAAGAGAAAACCAGTATTTAAAAAAAAAAAAAAAGAAAAAGAAAAAAAAAAAACCTCACGTGCACCTAGCAGGTTAATTACTTGTGGCAACCCAAGGTTCTAAGTGAAACCTTTTCCCCAAGTATCCGCCCACGCTAACAAAAGCTTAAGGTTAAGGAGCAGCAAAATAAATCAAGGTAGGCAATCGCAGCAGGTTAATAGGACTATTCAAAACTGCGAAGATTTCCACGAAAGAGCATAAGAGTCAACACTGCCAGCAGGAAAAGGAATGTGACAAGCTTCCCACCGTGAACCTCATCGTCAGGAAGGACCGTGCAAACCCGAGAGCCGGCTAGGAACCCCAAAGTGAGTCCGCACCTTGGGCGCCCTCCCTGGAGCAAGCTGCGAGCTCAGGTCGGAGCGCTCGCCGCCTCGGCGGGTGCGGTGACAGCCGGAGCCCCGGGAGCCCCGCCGCGGGGACGCCCCGCAGGCCGCCCGCCCGGGACCCCGAGCACCTGGGACAGCGCGGCCCGCGAGGCCCGCCCGGGTCCTCTCGCTGCCCTGGGGGACGGCGCCGCGAGGCCGCCCTTCGCCGACGCGAGCGCGGGTGGGATGACGACGCGGGGATTACCTCGGTGTCCGCGCTCGCCTCGCAGGCCGAGCCGCCACACCCGCTCCGCGCCGGCGCCGCGCCAGCCCCGCTCGCTCGGACACCCCGCGGATGCGCGCGCTCGCCTGCTCGTGTCCGGCCCGCCGGAGCGCGCCGGAGAGCAGCGGGGGCGGCGGAGCGCGGCACTCTGGGAAATGTAGTTTTCGAGCTCCTCCTAGGGGAGCGCGCCCGCGGGCACGCGCTCCTGCCCTGCTCCGCTTCCCTTGAGCAGTGTCCATCCACAACCCGGATTTTCTATCTAAATCAGTTTCGCCGCATGCTCTGTCTGCAAAATGTGCACAAAACAGCGTGTGTCTGCAAACTAAAGAAGTAATTGACCAAGTACTGCGTGCTACATAAACATCAGTACTAGTAAAAAATGGTGAGATAAGCCAAATTCTCAATAAAGTCGTGGAAACGTAGAAAAAGAGAACAAGGGAACATTTTAAGATATTCCCCTGAGCTCTTTTTATCCAGTGCATCCCAGTTCCAGAATCTTCAAAACTTAGAAGAAATGTAGAAAGGTAACCTCAGCTGTTAGCGTGGCGGAGCACGGAGGTACAAATTGGATCCAGCCCAGGTGAGCTGGAGAGACTCAAGCTGAACCTGAAAGGGAGACAGGTGTAGTCAAGGGCCGGCTCCCACTGGTCTACTTATGCAAGCAAGGCCCGCTCACTCAAACATCACCCCCAGTCCCTGCCATGAGGAGCTCAAGTCCCCAGAGAGAAGAAAGTGCTACAACTCTGGGCACAGAGAGGAATTCCAGTTGGCATAGTAGGGTCAGGCAAATATATATTTTAAGTAAAATATTTATACCAAATGTCAGTAAAGAGGGGAAGGTTTAGCCTGGAAAAGGCTGTCCCCTAAAAAGTGATATATCCAAAACAATGACTTCACCTAATTATTTTAAAAGTCTAGGTTTCATAAAACAAGACAAACTGAAATGAAATGAATCGCATAGTTTTCTAAATCTAGAGTATTTTCTTAGCTTCTTTCCCACTCACTCCATTCACTTTCCTCCCTCCCTTCCTCCCTCCCTTCCTTCCTCCACAGTTGGTCCATGAAAAGGATCTCAGGCCCCCCCCCCCCCCCAGCTCTAAACACTAAAACTCGGAAGGATGGATGGCATCATGCCTTCTGGGTCATTTTCTGACTGTACTTAGTGGGAATAAATGGTTTATCATCAGTTAAACCCCAGCCAGCATTTGCACGTCATATTTAAGTCCTTACCTCTGACCCTGGAATAAACGGCTTTTAACCCTCCACAGGCCTTTCTGATGAGGTCTGCAAATGGATCTAGAATGCTAATCAGAAGGCAATTTTATCTTCGTGTGCAGTGGAGAAAAAGCTTGGAGGCAGCGGGCGAGTTCTGACCATGAAGACCATCACCTCCCTACCATGGCCACGGCTATGGCTCATGTCCCTTTCTGCCACCCGCCAGCTCCTACCATCACCCTTCTCCATGCCTGTCCTTACCAGCATGCTTAAGCTTCCCTGAATAATTGCTTCCGTAACCAGGAGTTATGGAATCCCAGCATTCAGGAGGCAGATCAAGAGTTCCTGACCAGCTTGGGCTATGCAATGATAGCCTTAAGCTAACCTGGGCTATGGTATGAAAGCTTGTCTCGAAAAGCCAAAACTGGAAACAAAGCAATTACTTCCTATGTTCTACATCCCAGACATGCTGGTGACTCCCTTCCTGGCCCTGGCTCACTGGCTCATTTTACGCTAATAAGTTAATGATAGGTTTTGTGTCCAGTGCCCATGAAACAAATCTAATAAAGATATCTTTAAACCTCTGGGGATCAAACTGGAGAGATGGCTCAATGCTTAAGGGCACTGGGTGCTCATCCAGAGAACCCCGGTTCTGTTCCCAGACCACCATGGTGGCTAATGAGCTGTATGGAACTCCAGTTCTGCAGGATCCAACACCCTCTTCTGGCCTCTGTATTTACACAGTGCCCAGAGGGATATACAGATAAAACACCCATACGTGTAGAATAAAAATAAAATCTCTAAATCAATAAATCTCTGGTAATCTTTCACATCTCTGAAATATTTGAAGTTCCCTCATTTCTGGTTGAGCTTTTATCATTTCTGCTTTGTTACAAGATATTTGATTATACTGTGTAGAGACGTGTCCCTGCAGTTGGTTTAATAAAAAACTAAATGGCCAATAGCTATTGGCTAGGCAGGAGGTAAAGGCGGGTCTTCTGAATAGAGAGCTCAGAAGAGAGGAAAGGCAGAGTCGCTAGCCAGAGGAGACAGGATGGGCAGCACAGAGTACCCGAGCCACAGCAAAGAATGTAGGTTTAAAAACAAGGGTTGATCTAAGTTATAAAATCTAGTTAGGAACATGCCTAAGCTAAGGCTGAGCTTTCATAGTTAATAAGTCTCCACATCATTATCTGTGAGCTGGTGGCCCAGAGAAAGAGCTGCTAAACTTCCTCTTTTACCGCTTTGCTGCATAACTGACAACTATACAACATCACTCAGAGTTTTAGATTTTTTGTTTCTGTTTTTCTTTTTTCTTTTTTTTTTCTTTTTTTCTTTTTTGGTTTTTCGAGACAGGGTTTCTCTGTGGTTTTGGAGCCTGTCCTGGAACTAGCTCTTGTAGACCAGGCTGGTCTCGAACTCACAGAGATCTGACTGCCTCTGCCTCCCAAATGCTGGGATTAAAGGCGCACACCACCACTCTCCGGCTCACTTAGCTTTTTAACCAGGAAGACTTCTCCCACCCCACAGTCCCTCTACACACAGAGACTTATTTTTATCCTTACAGTAGCACTAACCACTAACCTGCAAGCCTTTTAATAGGTTATCTGTCTTTTTCATTTGTTTGAAAATTTTCTAAGACAGAAAAGCATATCATACTTGATGTAGATTATGTTTTTAATAAATAATAAGGGATGAATGCCAACTTTGTGTAATAAACGGTTTTGTACATACGTATCCCCAGCAAGGGCCAATAAAGTTTTGTTCTCGTAAACTCTGTCCCAGCTCCTCAACCCTGCTTTCTAAATGACCATGGGTAGCTCTCACCATGGCTCAAATATCTGAGTGAGACAAAAGTTTGAATGAAAGGTGTAAGGGTACAGCTCTGAATGAGGGGACTGTATTCACCCCAGAGGCTCCCTGTTCTTATTTCCACTGACGATGTATTTGGGGATGGG